GTGATGGGGGGACTGGCCCCAACCCTCCCTCTTTCCGATCTTCGATCTTCTCCTGCCTGCTTGGCTTCTCCAGAGCCAGCATCCAGCTCTCGAACAGGGCTGCCGAGAGGAGCCTGGAGGGGATATTTCGCAGGAAGTCCTGCAAGGCCGAGATCCAGAGATGAGGCTTTGGACACGAGCCCTGAGGCCAGAGGGTGCATCCAGCGGCCCTTGGGCTCCCCAGGAGGCAGATTGCTTGGAGCTCCCCGCTCTCAAAGGAGCTCCTGGCTGCTGACAGAGCGAGCAGTGGGCTGCGCGAGTACTGCCCCGCTTGGGCACACTTGTGGGAGTGCACGAAGAGGCCCTAGGGCCTATCAGCCTCGAGTCCACCCAGAAACCTCAGCCTTCCTCCCTGAGGAGGGGGCTGGGGCGAAAGAGGATGAGCAGGAGGAGGCGGAAGAGGAGGCGGAAGAGGAGGCGGAGGAGGCGGAGGTGACTTTCCCCTGGGCAGGCAGGAAATCAGGGGCAGAAGCAGGGGAACGGAAAATCAGATGATAAACCCAAAGGCCAAACTTTCCTCCCCCTGAAAAGCTGTCGTTTGGCTTCCCTATGGATTCAGCTTGGAGTGCCCCCTGGGCCCAGCTAGGCACTCGCGTGGTGCCCGCCTGCCGGCCAAGAGGTGCACGGGTTGGCTTTGCAAGTCAACGGCCCCTCCTTTGTTGAGCTCCTCCCTCAGCTCCCTGCGGGCCTTCTCACTGGCAGCTTTGCGGAATATGCCCTCTGTGGCCGGTCCTTCCCTGTATAATATGGCCAGGAGATCCTGCAGGAGAAAGCAGACAGGTGTGGGAGAAGAGTCATGTGGGTGCAGAAAGGCCAGTTAGCCTTAGGGGAGCCTTTGTTTGGAGATGGAAACAAGCTTTTGCTTGGGAGGTGCACTTTGTTTTGCTTGCATTCAGTTCTCATTCTTGGTCCCCATAGATTACCCTGGGAATACCCAGACTGTCCCCCAAGCCACCCGCTCAAGCCCTTTTTCCAGGGAAATGCAGAAATTGCTGGCTCTTTTTGCTCCTGAGAGCTTCCTTTCAATGACTTCTGCAAGGCCATCAGAATGTACCCTTGAGAGCAGATCTGCTTCTCCTCTGCCTGCTCCCAGGGTTGCACAGGCCTGCAGTCATGACCCTTTTGACGTGCCTGGGGGGACCTGCAGTCGAGGACTCGCCGCTTGAAGTGTGTGTGGAGGGCAAAGCCCCAAATGCCCTGTGTGGAGCCGAAGGGGTGGGGAGGCTCCCTCGAAAGAGGAGCCAGCAGCAGCATAGCTGCATGGCCAGGCTGCCTTACCTGGCCTGGCTGGGGCAGGGTGCCCTCTTCTCCACAAAGAGTAGTCAGAGGCTGGCCAAAGAGAGGTGTCTCGAGGCCAGAGTGCGGCTGCGCTGGGCAGTCCCCCTCGGCTGAGGCTCATCTCCGAGCAAATGGCCATGGGACGAACCTCTTCCTTTTCTTAGTCCCGTTGGCTGCAAGCAAGAGGAAAGCAAAACTGCAGAGGGGCTGTAGGGGCTCTGGCTTTTCAGCTGCTGTGAAGTGCTCTGGGAGAAGGCAGCTTCTCAGCTTCCCTTTGCAGCTCACCAGGTAAGTGGTAAAGCCCCTCTTCAGCAGCTGATGGCACCAAGACAGGGCACTGCTTGGTGCCAGCCTGCAAGAAAGGAGGGCGAAGGGCTTGTATCAGGCGCAGCCCCCCAGCAGGCGCCCGCAGGGGACCCGGGGGCCCAGGCTGCCCTGCCGCGCTCCCCCAACCCGGGGAGCTGCTCCCCGGCAGCCCCACGCGGCAGCCGCCAGTGTCGCGAGGGCTTCGGGCCCTGCCACGTCCCCTCCCGAAACTCAGACGCCTCCCGCCAGCCCCCAGCAAGGGCCCTGCGGGAGAGGGAGCCCCTGCTCACCTCCGCCGAAACCAAGGCCTCAACGGTGCGGGCAGTCAGCGACCCCGCCTGGGCAAGAGAGCAAAGAGGCAACGTGAGCAGCTGGTGGCGGGGCTTGCCCGCAGCCCCGTGGCGCTCGGGGCGCAGCGCAGCCCCCCGGGACACTTACGGCGCCCTGGAAGCTGACGGCCGTGACGAGGAGCCAAAGGGAGGCGAGTCGGGTGACGCGGGTCTCCGGGGCTCCTGGGCTCTGCCTGGGCACAGGGCAGGGGCAAAGGCAGAGCTCCATCACACCCAGCCCCTCTGCTCACTCCTCGGGCGGCAGCCCTGTGCAGGGGGTGTCCCTTTCCCCCACCTCCCCTGCTGCTTTGCTGGGGGCAGCTCTGCACCGCCTGCAGCCTTGCCGCCGCAGGTGGGCTGTATTCCCCGGCAGGGCTCACCTGAGGATCGTGCTCAGCCAGAGCTCCCTGGCCTCCTGCGACGTGCAGCGAGAAGGAGAAAGAGGCTCAGGGCCCGCTCCTCCGCCTCCTTCTCCTCCTCGTCCCTGGGAGAGGCCCAGGCCCCCAGACACATCTGGCCCACTTGGCCCTGCTCCACAGCACCATGCACCAAAGCCCCCGGCTGGTGTCCCCCAGCAGTGTCCCTGTGGGGAGCAGAGCTGCAGGGAGGAGTCGGGGGTAGGAGGCTTGTGGACGGCTGGAGGTGCCTGTGGGTGCGTCTGAAAGCCACACAGGGCCTCTACTTTCTCTCCCCCCAGCCTGAGCTGAGCCCCAGAGAGGCCGGAGAGGACTGCAGGCAAGCCCGGTGCCCGGCACCCCTCACAGCCCTGCCCGTGCCCCCAAGACTCACCGGAAAGTGACCACGCAGAGGTCAGTGGGCCAGATGAGGAGGAGGTTATGGGTGCATTGCAGGCCATAAACCTCCTCGTCCTCCTCCTCCTCCTCTTCGCGCCCGCCCGCCGCCTTGTCCTTCCTGCACAGCCGCCAGAGCCG